CGAGAACGTCGAAGACTCTTGCTAGAAGAGGAAAGAGGTGCAAAAAAAAAGGTTCAGCACATAAATAGATTTGTTAGGTGTTTATAAAACTATAAACTCAAATAATGATCCCAACATGTAAAGATTTTGAAATAACATGACGAGAAAACATTAAATTTTAAACCTTTGAGATAAGCTACACTTAGAAAAAGCAGCAATTTGGAAAATTATTGTAAAAGCAAAATTAAAAATGCCAAATGAAACAAAAAATAAATTCTCAAAATACTAACAAAGTTAACAATAACAAATAAAATAAAAATAATTCCAAAATAATCGTTCTGAAGACCACTAATTACTAAAGACTCCTCCAAAAAACTTTTTAAATTTATCATCGAATTTACTTTAAGAGAAATTTGCGATTCATCTTGTCCCCGAAATGTATGTTTTTGTGTAGCCAAAAAAATTATCATATCGAATAAACGCCGAATTTAAGAGAATTTTCTATAGTTTCACTTCGTTTTCAAAGTAATTTTCGTTTATTCAGATTGGTCATGTTTTTGTAAAGCAGTAGCGATATATTTTATATCGCTCTTCTTGTGGAATTCTAAAGTGTTCGTAATTTAATTTTATGTTAAATAGCAGATAATTCCAACAGTTTTGTTTGTTGTTTCACTACCGATCAACCAATAGGTAGGTAATATTTATTGTCCGAACTTTGATTAAAGCCTTTATTACTGCCACGAGAGTTTGTGATGACCAATTGTTTCATTTCGGGACATGATTTTAATTTATGAACAAATAATTCATAAATATCAAGTTCCATACTACTGAATTTATTTATTAAAAACAAAAACTCAATGTCTTTAATGCCTTCTTTACCACCTCTCTAATATTATTTGCACAGCTTACAGTAGGATTTGCCATTAAAAAAAAATTGCTAGAAAGTACCTACTTTGGTACCCGCGTAACTATTTGGCAATTTGAATAAGCTACATTTTATAATTAAATGCACTACCACAATGCTGTTTCTGATCTGACTGAATTCAATTGAGTCGTGTCTCCGACGAGGACGAACCATGCCGAGTGCTTCCGATTTTCAGGGTGGATTTGCCCACCCATGCTAGAGCGAACGCGTAACAAACCTGTGCGGACAGTCTGAATTAAATAATAAATTAAGCGTATATTTAACTTTTGTTGACTCTGCTACAGTTATATTTATGAAACAAAAATGTATATGTAATAATAAAAAAATACACATGTCAGATACGTACTGCAATAATAAATGTATTACTTATTCTCATCATTGGTTATTCGGATTTTTAAATTTATAATTCATTATAAAGTTTACACGGTGTCATAATACAAGAATATGGATATTACAAATTTTCATTTGATATGAAAAAGTATTTATTAATTATTATGGTGTTGCTCTTTTCTATAACAATAGTATTCAAGAATTTTCGCATAACATTATTTTCCTTACTACCTTACCCATATTTCAATAGAGTAATAAAAATAATTACCTCTATACTTTTACAATACAGAAGAAGTAAAAAAATCGAAATTAATTTATTGAATCCTTGAATCGAATATCGAGAGATCCGATTCCGCAGCGTTTGAGATATACGTTGAAGCCAGGGCGTCCTGCCCCGCTTGAAGCAAGAAAACACGGATATGCAAAGACGCGCGTTTCGAATTCTTTACTCTCAATTATGTACATAGAAAACCGAACGTATGTCATTGCTTACAATCAAGAGGGTGGACCAGGGTGGACTAGCCCATCCTCACATGAACCGTATAACGCCGAGATCTGACGCACTTTTTTACAACTGCAATTTCTCAGTTGCGGAAACTGCGGGATGTAATGAAGAAAATCCGTTGGCTTAAATGATGTTTACGACGATAATTATTTGTGTATACATATAAAATATTTTAAAAAAGAAAAAAAATCAATATTTTACTTCGTATCATAAACAATCAAATAGGGTGGGCATTGCCCACCCCGAGGAGCCGCCACTGCATTGTACTTCAAGAAACGTCACATTCGACGATAAAACAATAATCAACTTATTCAAAACAACTTGTTTCCTGAAGGTTGAACTTGAATTTTTTTAACGCTGGTCCAATCAACTTGACTAATTATTAAAAAAATTAATTTTTCATACATTTTACAATGTAGTTAAAAAAATACAATTTTTGCACTGTCACATTTTGTATATTTTTTCCTGTTTAAATAAATAAAACAAAACAATAGAAGTTCTGTTATTATTTGGCAAAGTACCGCAAACTTGAAAATGACCGGCATTCAAGCAAGATTTGTACTTAAAATAGTACAATATCATTATGGATACTTAGGTATGTACTTGCTTAGCACAGCTTTTCTATAGCCATGGCATACTGATTCATTTACTTATTCTCTTAGCTCTTAACAGGTTGCTGAAGTTAGTTTCAGAGGTGGACTGGATTCATGTTTTGCTGATTTTAACTAAGGTCAGTTTGTACTGGTCCAGGTAGACAGTAAAAGGCTGACGCGTGAAATGAATGCAACTTAATGAAAAAAGTACATCAAGGTCAATATCAAAAAATAACCTTCTAAAAAGAGAATCCCAATCTTAATCTGAAGCTTATAAACTGCAATGCGTTTTCATACGAACCTTGTTAATCATCGTCGCACAACCTAACAAATGACACATATTAGTCCAATCCAGGTTCCCTGGAGCTATGTTGTCCTGTACGATCAAAATCTTTGAGAAACTTATGAACAGTATGACATTTTCTTAACATAGCTTGTTTTTATTTCCCGAGGGTAAGCTAAGATTGTAATAGAGTTCATTTGACGAATGGTTACTTTCATGTTTTCTTGTGGTACATGTGGTTTATGAATCTACTTTGACTGTTTACATTGGCGTTCAGATTTTCGCAAAAAAATCCAAACTGATAATAATATTTTATAACGATATAACAGGAACGCAGAGCATGGCCAATTAGCTCAACAAAGCGTCGTGCTAATAACGCTAAGGTCGCGAGTTTGATCCCCTGATGGGACAACACATTTCATAATTTTTCGGAGAAGCTGGATTTGTGGACTGTTCAGGGACGGAAGAAATTCTGCCTAAATAACCTTAGGCCAATTTTTTTAACTCACATGGGTTACAGCAAAAAGTAAGTATTCGTAGAATCTTTGCTTTAGAGGCCAGGGAAGTTCTGTCTAAACAACTTTACATTTTGTATCGATTTGTGACATTTGATTTCATTTTTAAAAGCTGGAGAGGATTTTTGCAGCTAGGAAGTAAGTTCCTAAATAGATTATTGAATTTAATAAACAATTTGCCCTCTCTGTATTTTGCATTTTGATTTAAGGGTATTTTTCCAACTATGGCGCCTTGGGGTTCACCATTACGGGTCTGTCGCAATAATATATGGTTACTTACGAACGATTTTAATATTTATAGTAATAGAATTTTAATGCTGCAGTCGGCTACAATAGTTATTTGCATTCCAAGGCCAGAAACCAAACTTTTGCGAATACGAGCGAGTTTGCCAGGTCAAGTATTAAGCTATGTTGTTCACTTGCGAGAAATACTTCCAAAATATGCCCGTACAACTGGAGTCGGGCCTATCCTTAAGTGGATAAGCAAAACTGCATCTGCGCGCATAAGCAACTTCCATAATACGAACAAACTTCGAAGTACAATCTTCGAAAAGTTTGTTTACATATGTTTCAGTACAGTACCTAATATCTCAATTAACTGCAATAATAGAACTCTGAAATATGGAGTTGCAAATTAATACTACAAAGACGATATAAAATCCAAAACAGAACTAGGGTTACTCTCAAGTGGACACGTAGCTTTAGCGAATCCGCAAGAATCAGTTACAGCAGAGTGATGCATATTATTTTTTGGGTCGCGTAAATGTATTATGTATTAAAAATTAAATAATTTCATATTTCTTGACACAACAGAGTGACAGTCGGTTTTTTTTTTATAAACTCAACATGGTGAGCTGTAAACTTAGTAAATCTTGGGATGGATAATCTTGGAAAAACACCTAGTTTTCATAAGTTTCAGTTCGTTTCATCCCCATGGCGGATGCTAAGTCAAATGCCCCGCCACTGTTTAGCGATACTGTCGAAACTAGGGGCATGGTTAATTCGTCGTAAACCTGTTTAGATTCAGAGAGGTCGGTGCCACAAATATCATCGTATTATCCGTCCGTTCTTATTCGATCCGCCTCGGTGGGGACAAAGGGACCAATGAAATTGTTAGGTGTTATTTTCTACGGTCTCGGCTCGGAAACAAATATTTAGAGAATGGTGGCCCAAAAAATATATTGATGACGTCAGCGAAAAATGTTAAAGTTAATGTCAGAATACAGCTCATATACGAAATAAATTTCCTTACAAAATTTTTATCGAATATATTTCCGACTACACAGACATATTTACTTATATTTATATGTGTTTCTTTTGGATCCGATTAATGTTTGTGACCAAAGACTTGACTTTGACCGCTGATGTTTATTAAATTCCTACTCTATAAGCATTTTCACACAAAACCGGAATCTGGAGAAGTAACAAATAAACTGGAGATCCGTCGACCTCTACCCAAAACCGCAAAAAGGCAAAAAAGGTCGATAGGTGCAACATATGCGACCAGTAAACACGTTTTTTTTTGCACTTGCCTCAAGTCGTATCCCTTTTCTGAACGGTAACAGATATTCATATAATTAACTTTTGTTACAATGCGATGTTAAAGGTCAGTTTTGACAAATATTACTTTACAGAATGCAAATTGCGATTTAATTTATTATTTATTTATAACGGTACGCATTAAAGTTGGAAATCTGAATTGTTGGTTGCATCTAGAACTGTTCAGGAACAATAATTAATAACCCTGCATCACCCCTGCTAATTTCTTATAAAAGTTACTTTATAGACTGAAGACGGAACGTTGTGATAACTGAAATAACTAACTTCCATAAGAAAATACTGTCTAAGGAAGGGTTAGAAAAAGAGAAAGCTTTAGTAATCTTGTATTTAATAAATACATCCAAATTTTAGGACATGAAGGTGGGTATTGATAAAGTTTTGTGATAATAAAGTTACAATTTAAAATCGTTACGTATTAACTTACTTCAGGAAACTTTCTTCCAGTGATGGATACAAAGTTAGGTCAATGTTAACACTAAAATGGTATTTTAGAAATAAATCACATTAATAAGGACAAAAAATACCTTTTAAAGGCCTCCATAATTTGTTCAGCTTTAGCAGGAACCGAAACAATTGCAGTCTTAACTCTTTTAGGATCAAACAGTGCTGACAGATACTTTTTCCCAACTTTATTCAATTCTTCGACAGTAACATTGTGGATAAGATTTAAAAGATTCCTAAAAACACAAATAAACATGATAATCGGGAAATAAGTAAGTGAAACACCAACCTGTTGTAAGTGAAATCAACTTCTTGAAAATATGAGATAACTGACAACCCAATAACGCTTCCTATGGTTTTCTCTTTTTCTATTAATTCAAAAATTAAAGAACTTCTTGCTGAATCAATCAAATTGTTATCCCATTCCTCAGTATTGATTTGATTTAAAATTATATCCTTTGCTTCCATATAAGCACCAACAACATTAGTTGCCCTTGAAAACACCAGGTACAGAAGACCTTCATGAGGCTTAACCATCATCGTGTACCCGTAAGCGTAACCTTTACCTCGAATTTGACGCCACATGGGGCCCTTAAACATAGTTTCAGTAATTTTTATAACAAAATAGTTTTAATTTTAAATTAATACCTCTGCTTGAATTAAGTACTGCAGATAAAGCATCAAAGCAGGCAAGTCTGGATCCTCATATGAACTAATGCTGTCAACCGTTTGATGAAAGAAAGATGATTCTAAACAACCCATTCCAATTACGCAACCATTTAAATCTTGATCTTCAAGGGACTTCAGTAATTTTAAGTCAGGAGTTACATGCAATCTGCAAAAAAAAAAGATCTCATTAAACTGATTTAAAATCCAATACCACCAACTGTTAACGTTATACTATGAACACTTTGGTGGTAACTAATGAAAGTTGGCTTTGAAAAATATACCTTTCTTGAGCAGCTGTGGCATTCTCAGGTAAAAAATTCTTTAAAGGTGTAACTGCATCAGGAATACAGTCCAAATTTCCGATTAGATGTAATACAACGTTCTTTGGATCAACAAGAATTTGCCATATTTTTTCACAAGTGATCAACACTTCTGCAGATTTTTCACTGGTAAGTATTTCACTAGTTTCTGTTAAAAATTTATTTTGAACAAGGATGCCGTTGTTATAAATGTTGCTATCTAAAACGGGTCATAAAAATAACTTACAACAAAGAAAATATTTTCTACGCCTTACTTTGTACATATCGCAGACCTCGCATGGCGTAAGCTACCACATCTCGGCCACATCTTTTAGCTTGGGCTACTGCATTATTCATTTTAGCTGCTATTATTTTCAGTCTATCTACTGAGAACACCGTATTATATAAGATATCACGTAGCCACTCTATACCAGTTTCATATTTTGCTATTTCAACTTGCAACATTACTGAAATTGTGTGCGAGTACGGCCCACACTTAAACAAAGGTTTAGATCCTAAACCAAGACTTGAACTAAATGACACTGTATCGTTGTTCAACTGCTCGATGACATCTTCATAAGGTATAAGTTTGTCGTTTTTTCTGATCGGAGATTCAAACAAAGATTCCAGCATCAACGGCAAATAAATACGTAGTTCTTGAGGGACCAAGGTGCTATCCAAAAGCGCGTATATCTAAAATTATGTACTACAGAATCAATACGTGTAAGAAACATGAATAGCTATGAGATTTCATACTTAAGATTTGAAAGAGTTTCAAGCAGCACATCTTTTCAAACACATTTTAAAATCAATTGTAGTGTAAAATACTTGTGAAAATGATTATAAATAGAGAAATAAGTTCAGACATCCTAATAAGTCTAGAAATATTGAAACAATTTTGTGCATTTTGTTTATATTATAACTCTAAATTCTGGGAAAATTTAAGAATGAAACCTTCCACTAATCTTTGTTTTTTTAAATTCAGTTCACTCTTCTTCACTTACGTAGACAAACTCAGACTTTATATGATCAAAACAAGTATACACATTCGTGTTAGACAAATCAATTTGTTGTCTATCATTTAGGTCAGTTCGATATCGTTTTATATCATGAAAATTAATGGATTCAAGACTAGGAATCGGCAGTGAAGTTAGCATATTAGTGGGTGGATCTCTTCCATTAAATTTTACAGCATCTTCTAACTCTTTCTCTTTTTGTTTTAAACCCTCTTCTCCTAGTTGTTCTACTTGCTGTTTAACACGAGTTGCTTCTTCTTCTGCCATCTTAATGTGTTCTTCCTTACTTGGAATACACTGAACAGCAACGTAGTTGTTATTTACAAAGTACTTATTCATTAGCGACACCCAAAACGATTTAGGTTCTTTCAAGAGTTTACCTAAATCAACCAGAGGATTTAATCTTTGTTGAAGCTAAAATAGTATTAAGATTATAACCAAAAAATAAGCAATATTGAGACTTACATCTTCTTTAGTATTACCATACAACATATGTCCAATAGTTATAAAAGCCAGTGTACTGTGGGGATTATTTTCAATATTACTCAAATGCTCAAGTTTATTTCGTTTAATTATACTCTTTATGCGTTCCATATTAATATCTTCTTTGTCAACAATCGTTTTAAACAGATTTTGCAACTTTGATTTAACCTCAGCTAATTTAGCTAGAGGCACGTCTTCAAACATTATGTAAATACAAGATTCCGAATTTTCCAAGAAATTAAACGAAATCTAAAATAATTTGAGATGTAAAACTACCACATTATAATATATATATATCTATTAAAAAAATGTATCGACGGATACCTAAGACTAGATTAGCGTGCAATAACTTGCTTATAAATGGAGTTACGATGTGCGTTAAAGACAAAGCTCAATGATAAGTGGAATAATATGCAACAATGAAGAGTATTAGAATGATTACATTCCCGAGCTGTTATCAACTTTTTGATTTATTATACATTTTAACATACATAAACAACATAAAGACATACACATATTAATAATATATGGTTCCATGTTTGTGTTTCACTTTTAACTATAACTTTGCATAAAAAAAGTTTTAGGTTATTTCAGTAACATTATTTGCACTACTTATTACCCTTGCTACATGCTTACCACATGAGCAGAGTATTATCAAATCATACTATAAAACAAGTGAAGATAACACAGTTATGTGTTATTAACAAAATAAACTTTACATGTGATCTACAAAATCTATACAGATTTCACTTCCTTTTTGTTGTTTTATGGTGCTAGCCTCGTGTGATATGTGTTAAAAGCTTTAGTATAAATAAGATTTACAACAATGTTTAAATGTCAATTGTTCTGATATAAAAATTTAACATTTAGTTTTTCACTCAAAATTTCATGGCAAACCAAATTTTAAAACGTTACAAAATCGGTGAATGCAATACGTTTTCCATTTGATGAAAACCTACAATACTAATTTCAGTTCAATAAATCTGTATGTCCAACAAAATTAGTTAAGTTTTTGTCAAAAATTGCTCATTTCTTTAACTGAATCATTTCCACATTTCTGATCACCAATTAAGTTTGTAAATTAATGCAACTAAGACATAGAACTTACGTTACTGGCATAGGGATCATCAATTTCGATAAATTCCTTTGGTAAAGTATATGTTGAAAATTCAGTAAGGTACTTCAAGAATATACACACTGCTGTTAACATATACTGTTCTTTGACAGTCGAGGGCCCCCTCCAGCCTATACAGAAAACGCCATTACTCTCTTCATCTGTAGGATACTTAATAATTAAATCCTTTGATTCAGTTAATGGGGGCACAGAACTCTGCCAAGGTCTTTCAAACTTCCCTCGTTCCCCGTTCAATATAATCTTCTGTTCCAGTGGTTCTAAAGCTTTAAAAACATCCTCATGTTTTACCTGCCCAGTAATAATAACTTTCAAGTTTTCAGGTCTATAGAATTTTTTATGATAAGCTTGAACTTTGCCATTACTTGTAGATTCTCGGAGGTTCTTCATAATACCACCAGTTTCTGAAGAATACCCACAGTGCCCGGGATACATCGCTCTAGCCAAATTAACATGAAGCCTAGATTCAGCAGTGTTCTCGCGACCTTGCATTTCACAGTACACTACACCAGCATCATCACCTTCAGGTGTTATGTGATGAACTTCAGTGATAAAACCTTCCTCCTAATATTCAAGAATACAGTTTATGGATTAATTAGAAAAACAGACTTACAGTCAACACTGGATACAAAATATGTTCTAAAAAGATTGGCATTAAAGCTAAAAAACCCTCACTGCCTGCTGTTTCCATTGTATAACATGTATGATCAGTATCAGTCCATGCATTTGTGCCTGATGCCAAACAACGATTTGCCAACAAGTCTAAAACGCCCTTATATGGATATTGTTCACTACCCAAGAAAATTAAGTGTTCAAGAGTATGAGGTAGGCCATCATCATCAAATGCTTCAGTAGCTAGAAAGAACCCTCTTAAATGAGAACGAACACAGGCGTCTACTTGTTGAATACCTAAACAGAAATAACCATTTACAACAGGTCCATCTACCTCTGCTATAACTACAGTTAGGCCTGTATTTTTCGAATGGTATTCAAAAACTGGTACTTTTAAATAAGCATGTAGACAATTAATCAGTTCGAAAGATCCTGTATACATATCTGGTGTTTTATCCACAGGTGGCATTTTGGAGGTTACACTATAAGTACTGATAAACCGAGTTTAACCTTAAACACTGCAATTTGATTTTCTGAAGGTAATTTAGTGTTAATGTGGGTAATTCAATGCAACAAAAGGTTAAAATTCTTTGATTTTGACACTTTCCACACACACCCCCTCTTCGAACATCTTATAACTGTCAAAAAGCTCAACAGGTGACAAATGACATTCGTGTTAGTAATTTTCGTTTTTGATTAGTGGATTAGCATAAAAAAAAGTTACTACTTTTTAACAGGTTAACCTCAAAAAGCGTAGAAAAAATTTAAAAAACCGTATTGTGTGCAGCCTTTGGAAAATAAGGTAAATAACAAATTTGTATAAATTATTCTTTTATTTAGTAACTACATATGAATAATGTACATTATTGTAACAGTTATGCTTTTTTAATCCACGCGATTTCCAAACTAGCAGCTCCTGACTGTTTAATGGGCAAATATACACCCCCATAAGCTTGGATTCCAATTGATGTGATCTTTGTTAGGTCTAAATGTACTTTCGGATCATTGATAATTTTACCTGCGTAGTAGGGTTTGAATTCTTTTAAATTGAGAATTATTTCATTCATATCTCCAGAAACCTACAAATGCGTTAACATATAACATTAACATTTATAGTAAAAGATTTATAGAGCTTACCTGAAAAAAGTGACAAAATGAATAATTGTATTTATTTTCGTGAAGAATAAATTTGTAGCCGTTGTAAGAACCTTGACCTCTGCCTTTCAGTATGATACTTCTGTAAGGGCTTAAATCAAGATTTACAACTTTTCTCACACCTGCAAACGCAGCTCCACAAGGTTGAGGATTTAGGAGAGTAAAAAGTACAGCTGTTTGAAAAGTGGTAGTTTTTAAAAGAACCAAAGATCCTTTAGATTTACCCACATTTTGTACAGTATCGGAATGTTCTTGCCACTGAGAGATATCATTAAGATCATTAAAATTCTCAATATATGCGTCACTAGAATTTGATAAACATATATGTCTATTGGCTTATGTACCTATGTATGACTTTAACTTACCTTGCCCCAGTCTTGGTGTAAATACAAAACCAGATAAAGAGATATAAAAATAATTTAAACATTTTGTCTGTGCACTAATCTTTGGTACTAAAACGAGGAGGTATTTCTGTTGTGTACCGATCAGCTTTTATCGTTGAAGATGATTAGTCAATGGGTCAACAAACTTATCCAAATTTTAGAGGGTAAAATGTAGAAGTTATACAACCCTTAATGTTTCTTTAATTAACCAACATTGTGTGGAAAAATTACTATTTTATTACAATATTGCAATTTATATACAAGTTTTCCAACGGTGAAATCGAAAATATTTCTAACTGTGTACTTAAACGTTGTGTTTTTAAATTATACATCAAACTTTTTATATGAAATACACCTACACCATATCGTTCGGTACTTTTTAATAATAAAAACGATGTACGGTAATAATAATATGATCTGACTAATATTTTGCAAGATATTCACTTTTATTTAGAATATTGTGCAATTCTTAAACAAATTTTCTTTCCTACCATTTCAGTAGAGATAAGTTTGTTATTATTAAAAACTTTGTACCTGCCTTGGTTATTGAAGAATGACAAAGGAGTGAGTAGTATATAATCCATTATTTTGTATAAAACGATTTTATTTTGTAAGTTGTCTTTTCAGATTGCATTTGAAAGAATAATAAATAATATATTTTTTATTTATCCGATTTCTTTTTATTTTATTTATCCTGAATACAAAGGTAATGGAGGAGTATGAATAGTTATTTTAACGAGACGTAGCGGAGTTAAAAAATAATTCGACAGCCTCCAGATGTTGCGAACGAGTTACACATAAATTTCTTTGTGCTTTGACAAGTTACGACAAGTTGGTTGTTCATATCTCTTGACCAAAATATTCCAGTCATACTTTATGAAGAGGCAATAAGTTGTTACATATCGTAATTTTCCCCTTAGACCGATTTTCCCTACTTTTAGTATCCCACAGAGGTCTAATTTAGAACCCTCGCTGTTTATAATATTTGTTAATGACATTCTTGCTGAAATTGCTTGTGAAAAAACTCTAAACTCTTTACTAAAATTCATAGTGCAAGAGACTGACATTCATCAAAACAATTTTAATCATCTACTTTATTAGTGTAAAGTGAATCATCTATCACTTAACAAGGATAAATACTTTGTTGTATTTTTTACTAGAAACATATTAAGTTATTATGCATTGAAAATGGGTTAATATTGCATCCTAATAAATAATGAAAATGATTATTTTCACTGATCATTTTTCAATATTGAATGACGTGTAGCTCGAAAACTCGACGTGATAGAAAATTTCCAAAGATAGATTTGAAATAATCATAAAGAATTGGAATAAGTGCATCCACTTTTTTCGAGCCGTAAAAATGTTAATCAGTGTTGTTTTTGTAACGTAACGTAAGATTACAAAACATGTAGAGCCGGTTTAGACTAGATGAATTAATTACCTAATTCGAATTTATTAATGTGTAATTCACCCGTGACTCTGAGTATTTGATTAATTGAATTTAATCGCGTGTTCGGTTAATTGTGTTGTTAAGTTACCGACATGAAGTGCGTTTGTAAACCGGATCTGGGTGGTTAAACAACATAATGTAAATTTCATGTTACTGTATAGTGAATAGTAATCAGGAACACAGTAACCTTTCCAAAAAAAGGAATATTTCCACAATTCCAAAACTCGAATGAATTTTAAGATATCTCTAAGTAAAATGTAGTATATTTTTTTCTCCAGGTAGTAGTTTTCAACTTTTCAAATAAGTAGAAAATGTCAAATATTCATGTGAGACCAAATATTTTTTTTTATATAGCAGATGTTAAAAAGTCCTTGGATCGACTTAAAATAAAAGGCTAAGTAGCACTTTAACCGTAAGTGTAGATATAGTAATTGAATTTTTATTTGTGTCAACTCCATCATTATTGACTATTAATAATAGAAGCACCTTTTCACTAATGTCAAAGATATTCTTATCACTCTTCCACTTTTGAAAAGTCTTGTATTCTTTTTCGTAAATCGTCCGCTATTTTTGAGGCAATAATTGACCTATGGCTTCTAATGTGTCTTGCTGTACGTATGACGGCAATTTTTCCGCTTCAAATTCGTTTTCACACATTTTTTTCTGAATCCACTTTTGTAAAAATGGTAAAAATGAAAAGTTTATGTGCAAGCTCTGTAGCAACCCATACCTACTAAGACGATGAAAATAGAGCTTGATATTGAAATTTCTAGCTATTTTTTCGTACTGGCTTTATATTCTGCGCTAAAAAAAGTAGAATATATACGACTATAAAGGAAATTAACTTCTCGTGAAAGATATTTCTATTGTGACTATCGTCACTCGGTAGTTGAAGAAACTCCTTATCGTCTTATATAATAAATAACTATTGTTAAATTTACGGTTTTTTTTCCTACATTTTTTTGTGTGCTTTATTGGGCCACAGAAAATTGTATGTATCCCCTCTTATCAATGAGAATTATAAACAAAATCCTTTGACCTAAGTATTTGAGCATATTTGTTAAAGTTCACTAGGTATTTGTTTTTTTTTTTTGTTAAATTTTCAATGACAATGTTAAAAATAACAAAAATAGTTTGCAAAGACGTGTCTGCAGAAACTGTATTTTACATGCTATCGGAGATTTGCTCGAGTAGTGAACGATCGTTTGGTTTTAAATTAGCCTAGTTTTATGTAACTAGAGCATCTATTATGGTGTTAAATTCTTGATAAGTTATGCATATGCATACAGATTTCAAACCATCGCGTGTAAACTTAAAATACCAAGAAATAAGTAAACTGGCACCTGTTATGTAATAAGAATTTAATAAAAAATTACACAAAGTATCTATTTTTAGTTACACAATAACAAACATCTCAACATAATAGTCTTAATATAAAATATAATAATTAGTATATACATCTCTGATAAAAATATACACAATTACTCTGAGATCTACAACAATAGATACCCTGGTAAAAAGTAAGACATTGAATATTTTATTTAATCTCTTGACTAGTTTCTCTCGGTCGTAACAGTCTAAAAATAAGTGGTAAAAATTGAAAATGGCTAATTGCTTTCTTTTTCAATAAAACATTCATCAAGAAAATCTTCCAGTGAATGATACAAATGTGGACGGACGGAACCTAAACCATGATCTTCATCGGGATAACTCTGAAAAATTTACTTCAACAACAGGAAGAAAAATAGGTTTTTAAATTTATACCAATTGCCTAAATAAAATATCGTTTTGCTCTAAAACTTTGGCCCACAACATCGATTGTTGATAATGAACATTATCATCGTACGTGCCATGAATGAGAAAATACTGTTTATCACGGAGTCCTTCAAATTTTAGTAGAAGGTTTGCATTATGATATCCTACAAAATTATCCTCAATGGTAGGAAGACCCATAAATCTTTCGGTGTATATGGAATCTGAAACAGCATTGTTAAAGGTGGTAACACGAGCGACTGATACATACCATAGAGTGTCCAGTCAGTAACAGGAGCTACAGAAATACCACATTTAAAGATACCCTCATTGTCATTGGCTAGAATCATGCCAGATGCATATCCACCATAACTCCAGCCCCATACGGCAGTTCTACTGCCATCCACGTAGGGAAGAGCATCTTGAATTTGCCTTGAAATGAATTTGATAATTTATATAATATACGAAAGGACGAAATAATACTTCGTGACTCTAATCTGATCTTCAATTTCAACGGTTCCTAAATGCCTGTAAGATGCAAATAACATGTTGTTGCCTTTTAATCCAGAACTTCTTCCGTCTATGGTTGCATAAATTATGCTTTTATTTGCTGCTAGGTAAGTACCCCAATCAATATTGAATTTTTCGACCACCTGGAACGAGTCGGGTCCAGCATATCTACGAATAGTTACGACATAATGAAATCGCGGAATATTAAAGTAAAAGAAACTTACACATTCACCAACATGGGATATTTAGTGTTACCACTGATGTCTAAATTCGGTGGTAACTTCAAATTAACTTGCGCTTTGAAGCCGCCATCAACGTCAAATCTCATTCTTTGCGACGTTGGGAGTCGTTTAGTTCGCGTGAGCTCTTGCAACTCCTTATTTTCATTCCAGTCTATGACTTTTTTCTCTAAAGAGTAAAGTGAAATGTGAGGAACATCAGGGCCTGCGCATGTCAAAACATAATGAGAAGCATCTTTGCTAAATTCCGCTACGTTATACAAACAATCTATCTGTTTGTTCTTTGATTTGACTCCACAGGATAGACATTGCGTTTCTTTAGTGTCAACAGAAACGCTGTACACGTGCTGGACGGCTGAGTCATTTGCAGTATTGGCCAAATAAAATATCGTGTTGTGATTATGGTTCCAGCCTAGTAATTCAGTTACAACAAATGCACCTTTCGTCAGTGGTTCAATGGGTGCATTTGAAGTCCTTGAAAGCATTGCTACATGTCTGTAAGCTCCTAAACCATTCTGCTGATCGACTGGTAAAATCAGCGCCATTGCAGAACCGTCTTTGGAAAAAATTGGGGCAGTGAATAGTTCCAGCCAACCGGCTTGCTCATGTAGATCAATAATCTAAAAAGATATTATTTAAATGTGTCATTGAAAATGTAGCGAAATTATACAGTTTCCATGGTGTAAGAAGCCTGCGTTATTAAGTAAGTGACAATGGCCGCATGGTTTTGAACTCTGTTCATCCAAATTGCCGACACCGTGTCATTTGTAGCCCATGATACAGCAGAAAGAATTGGCCTGGAAAGCTAATCATTTGAGCAAACAATGTGAGGTTCTTGTCTGGATTTTACTTACGATTGAGTGGTCTCCAAATTACTGGGAGCTTCTAATCTTTTGATCTCACTAAGGTTATCTAAGTCAACACAATGTAAGGAGACTGTAGGATTGCGTGTTCCTGCCTGTTAGAATACAATACAAACTAACTTTACTGTGAATATTAAATATATAAACACAACCATTAAAATGTAAACATCATGGAAATGTAAAGCAAAATAAAAAATAGTGTTTTAATAAAATAAGAAAAATGCTCCAGCTAAAATCGTTAAAAAAAATATTAACGAAAGTTGGCAATACAAAACTGTAATTTACCAAAATTGTTGCGCATATCAGTAGTACATACACTAGTCTAATGTACATAAATAAGTATGTTGTCAGTATTAATTATTAAAGTTTGCTTTTATAAAGTTACTGTTTTAGGTGATGCTAGTTTTGGACTTCTTTATTAGACTTTCTGTCGATCTATTATATAGATTTCAACGCATGGGGAATTGATTGCTAAGCAACGAAAAAAAGAGTTCAGCCCTTTACAACTTCTGTTTACAATTTTTCTACATAAGGCAACACATTTGACAGAATTTTCATATAGTTTTATCCATGTGGTCCACAGAAGTTAATTTTTCCTCAAATAGAATTCCTAAATCTTGGTGTTGGTTGGTTAGAACTAGATTTGCACGTTCGGGGATATAAAAAATGTATAACAATATTTATTTTTGTACTGTAGATCACAATGAACATTCTATTGCTATCAGCGTGAGTTCGTTTACGGTACACCATCCAATTAGTGTACGCTCTTTATTTCGAGAATCTGTTATATGAAATAATTTCAAATCATCTATAAACAAAATCAGCGTACTAAATCAGGCAGGTAGATCATTTATACGAAAATAATAAAATATTCATTTAAATTTAAAAAGGCCCTAAACTGAATCCCCGTGGTACTGCTGATACCGGTAGAGACAAAATTACTGTACTTTGGATATTACTTTTCGTCTGGTAGATACTATTTGAACACTGAAACAAGAATCAGAGAATCTTAACATTCGTAACTCACCTAACAAAATAAAGTATCAATCATAACGAATGTGTAGACTGCGCCTGACACTATCGATGACCTTCGAGGTATATTATTTTTAGCACTAGAAATGCAGTAACATAAAATTTGGAACAGCTTTTGTAATAAAATGTACTAAATTCAATTTCAGTTGAAAACTGTTTTCAACGTTTTAATGTATATAAAACAATAAATCTCTCAAAATATATAAAAATGGATAATGTATTTAAAAAGGAACAGTTCTCATCATTTCTGGCAGAAATCAAATTATCAAAATTGTTTTCTAAATACGTTGTCTATAATTTGTTGAATTCAAAATAAACGTAGGAGTTTGAAAGGTATTTGATAGATCAGTTGCGATAATATTTTGTAAATCCTACAAAAGTTCCATCTTTCATTAAATCATCAATATATATCCATCAAGATAATAATCGTAATCGCGTATAAACTTTATCTTAAAAAAATAATTTGTAAGTGCATACATTCAGCACAAAATACCTGATTCAGTAAAAAAGTTATGAGCCGGAGAGTATATGCAAAACAATATTGTTTTTACACTTTATGTGATCAAAGTAAAACCATTGATTTTTTGGGGTTTTTAAAAATCTAAAAATTCCTTTCATTCTGCAATACATTTCTACTGTTATTTGACCAACTGTTTCTGTTGTAATTAGTCGATGTTTAAATTGAGTCGGCCTCGGTGTAAACGTGTAGTAACGATCTTATTCATTAAGTACAAAAATCTTCAGTATTTTTGGTGCAACTATGCGTGGAATAATGCTTTAACGCAAGAAATGAAAATATTTTAACCAGGCGTTAGCCCAACAATCGCCCATTCAATTTCAATAATAGCATATTTGAACAAGTTATAATGCAATGACAGTTTCATATGAACTACTTCCGTAGAATTAAGTTACTACTAATCACTATTGCATGCAAATGTCACCTATCTGGAAAAGAAAACCTATCCTGTCATTTGAGGCAATTATTATACATTATACAGAACGTTTCCAGTGGTGTAGAATGTTCACGAAACGTCTACACTCCAAATTTATCCTGTTGCTATCAAAAACTATTTTTACAGATTAACATTTAACCGCTGTCACTAATGCCATTATTATTGGAATGTATGCGGTATTTCTTTGCAACAGTCACGCAAAATTTACCACGTGCATATGATTGTTGATAATCACTCATGCTTTATTCTTGAATAATTTGCACTCTGGTTTCATAGTTGCGTATATTTTTGTCAAATCTAACATTCGTAAAATTATATGCACCAAGTAAATTGGTCTTCATACTGTTGTTTTTTATTGCATATTATTCGCTTGTTAATAATTGTTTTTCGTTTTTTGAATAGAACATAAATTATTAATTTTTAACAAATGACTTTATGTAGCACTTTTTAGTTCGAATTAAAAAGCCGCTGAAAAATGTATGTTAATGGGGTAATTAACATAACAACAAGCTTACTGTACTTCGTAATGATTGACGTAACAAGAAAAACTGTGTCAGTGGGTCCACCAAAAGGCAAAGTGGCGAGATTTACACGAACTACATACAACTTTTTTTTGTACAGAGGCTGCAAAATGTATGTAAAAAGTTATAAACTAATTTGACGTTATCCAAATCCATTTTCCTAATTCTGAGGTGACAGAGTAAGGCCGTTTTCTTACTTTTATCAAGCTCGACATTGTTTCGCTGTTTTAAAAATAGTTATTTATCTTATTATTAATGGGACAGAAGCATTATTGATTGGTGCATTTTCGAGAAAATATATATCGTTATAGCTATAGTTATTTCATAAGTAAACTGATGTACATACGTATATCGACAAAGCAAAAAAATACGACTAAAAAAAGCCATGGATTTTTTAAAGTTTGTCTTTGATCGTTTCAGATTTTCAAATTGACGGTAGCCTGACGAAGACGAAAATCTACAAAATTCCATGGTTGCCTTTGATTGTTCTCTCGGTATAATCCACTAGTGTTAGGAAATAAAACAGCCACTAAATTGGAGATTAATGCAACAATCCAACTGCACATTATTTCATTCGTTACACAGAAATAAACTATCCAACAAAGTTAATATTAACATTGAAATTGAGTGCAATATTGCTTTTATTTGAAGCAGTCATCTTAATGTTTATATTATAAGCATGACCACCTATGCGGTCGCCCGTTCGATCATTTCAATTTTAAACAGAAACATATTTTATTAAAGCAAAAACCTGAGATTGAGATGTCGGATAAAATATAGTAAGGCACACGTGTCTTGTCAGGCGTGACTTATTTGCAATATAACTTATACCATAAAGTACTACTTAAATACTTACAGTTTTGTCATAAACGTGAAAAAAGTACGTTTGCCGTGAACAACGTTAAAAAACCATTAATAAAAAAGTTGTGTTTTACTTGACCGACAAGAAAAGGTTATTTTTGTCGCTTTGTTTACTATTTCATTTTATTTTTGTTTTTTGTCGAATCATTCTGTCCCAGTTGATACGATTTTATGCTCCCGTTTTTGAAATTTTACCAGTTTTATAAATTTTTCACTTCGCTTTGATTAGGTTTTTAAACTTTTTTTATTTTGAAACACTACTAATCAAAAATTTTTGCATACTATTATATAAATATTACCTTGGGATATTTGATGACATTAGCTTTTGGATACTGAAAGATCATACTTCCTGGTTCTCCATATATTGGCAGTACCATAAGGGGAACTTGGGTATCATCGAATCTCGCATAAGCTAATTTAGTTCCATCTGGAGAAAACCACAAAGCTTTGTTGGAACTGAAAACCTCTTCTTCGTAAACCCAGTCCGGAATACCATTATATATAAAAGTACCATCATTGGTAATTCTGCGTGCCTCCGACGTAACATTTGACTTATAGTAAATATTGTAATCCATGACAAAGGCTAAACCATTTCCAACTGGAGCCCACACAACAAGAAAAAAGTCATATGTGTCATTAATGTGCAACTCTATACGGTCTGAGGTATTTCGTAAGTTTATAATGGTGTACCGGGCTTTATAACTATGACGATAAAACTGAAAGAAGTTGTTATCAAACGGAAACCTAATTTGTTAAAAAATTACCTTTTGAAATCCGTGCGCTACTTTTAAGTAATTATTATCGGCAGATATTTCAAAATTGTTAGAGCCTGGTATCTGAAATATGATTATAAAAAGATGAAAATTTTGTACTAAAGAACGTACCAATTCGTCGGAAGCTAAAAGTACGCTTGGTCTTTCGCCTAAACTGTAAAGGATTAAATTTCCACTGGCATCCGTGTAAAGAAGTTCTTTATCTAAAATGATAAATTTACATTTAAAATGAATATTATAAGGCGATTAATATTCATTGTTTGCTGCATGCGAATGTTACCCTATAGGAGCTACTGCGTTTTTAATAAGTTTATTAAAGCAGCGGAAACGGTAATGAGGCCTATAAATTACAACACGTTTGTGATATCTGGATGAGTTACATGTTTAGAAGGACTGTATTGCGAAAATCCTATAAGCGCATCACCGTCTTCTAATCGATCTTGACCTTGTATGTCTACAAATTTAGACTCTAATAATTATTCAGACAAACTCATTTGGATGCAATCCAGAAATCTACCAACTAACAATTTATCACACCTCGAAGACCGTTTTTCTTTGCTGAATTTGCATAATGCAGTGTTATACCGTGATTAAATTATTGGTGATAATGTGATAATATATGTTACTGCTTTTGAATACCATAAATTTTAAAAGACTTTACCTGTTACCCACGTTCCATTGAAAGAGTTGGGATTTACTTTTCCCTGAAGAAGATCTTCTAAAGAAAGGGCGGGTCCTTCTTCAATTACCTTCTTATCATCATCTTTATCTTCTTGCGTCAATAAAACTATAGCTGCCACTACCAACGCCACCACTATTGCACTAACAATTCCTGCAATAATCCACGTTCGCTTTTTCCGTTTTCCTTTTGTCATTATTAAGTCCTGAAATTATTTTTTGAAACTATTAATAAATGAATATTAACCCTACAATTTAATTACTTATAAGTTAATAAAGGCAAATTGTTAGAGTGCCTTAGGAATCGATTGGCGGAGCAATGAAGCTTTTATCAAACATTTTATTTCATGATGTTGGAAGCACAAGCGGAAATTGGAACTGATAAGTAATAAGTTTTACAGAGTAGATCGAAGACAATAAGGTTTGACAAGATAATTAAAGTAACATTATCTGTGCTATTAAAGACCAATAAAAGTAAATTCCAAGCAGTGTCACATTTTACGACAAAGAATTTTCTAAGTCTATTATTAATTACGCCGATAATAAAGATTATAGTTTTAGTCGTTTGTCCTTTATCGCGATTTTCGCTAATCAACGGTAATTAAAAATGACGCATCATTAAATTAAAAACATATTTTTAACTAAACCACTTTGAATTACTTGAATCACAAACATTCGCGTGACATAAGGTGTTGTAACCCAAAACATATTTTATGTTCCCCATTTTTTATTTTTATTCCACAAAAGACCTATTGCAAATTTATTCAGCTTAACAATCGACTTTTGCCTGACGCTCCAAATTTTAATTTCCTTTATTTTTTATGGTAAATACGTGCATATTAAGTAGACGGTAATTTAATGCTAGAGTAATGTATAATCAATAATTCTATACATGTTGTACACACGTTATCTTTTACTGTAAAGAAATATGAAAAATACCCACCCATCTTAACTTCCTTGAACAGATATTTATTTAACTGTTTACTCAACTCGTTATTATTTTTGACCTCTCTGCCTAACGAAAAGTGGAGGTAATTATGGCCTTTGTTTGTGCAAGAGATTAATTTTTTTTGTTTATCTAAGAACAAACGTACTCTGTCTTCTCAAGTTTTTTCTTTTGTCTGTTAAAGACTGCAGGATTAATACGGAAATTTACCTATACCACACGAAATAAAGTCGTGAGGAACATAGTTAAAAGTAGGTAGTTAACTCAACCTACTTCTCGTGTCCTAGAATATTTGCACATTCACGATGTGCCTAAAAAACATCTACTCCTATGCATAATGAAATTCTTGTTTATATGATATTATAAATGACGTAATAGTGTCATTTGGAAAGTATAGACTTTCTTCTTTATTGACGCCTCCAGTCAATAACGTAAGTTAGTATTGCAATCATTATATAACAAGTGTGTGCAGATATTTTGGTTTTATTTCTTATGACGCTGCGATTGTTCCTTTTAAAGATTTGAATTGAATCGATTAAAAAAATAAATATGTTATCAAAATGACTTTTATTCAGTTAATAAAAAAAACCTAGAAACTTTAACTTTCTAAACGCTTTCTGCTATCAGATGTTATACGTTGACTACGAACAAGGAAAAAGTTTATGGAATTTAATTTGTTAGTCGTTTAGGTAGGTAGCTATGATATCTTTCTTAAGTAACAGACTGCGTGATTGGGGACAATTTATCGTTTATTTACGCCGACTAAATCATTTAGTGCACATTTTAGCTACACTCAGGGTTATAAAAGTTCACGCAACAAATGTGGATTTTTAGACATTATTGATAAATAAAAACGCACGTGTTAAATATAAATTTTACAAACGTGTTACGTTTAGGTCAGATATAAATAAAGTGTAGGAAGATCTATTATCATTCAACGTAAATTAAAAATCAATATCTATTTTCTTCAATTCGTTCTCAAGGTGCATGTTTGCTTAATAAATTCATGACTGTAGAAAGTTTTAAAATGGGGTAAATGGTTATGGTATGTAAAGCTTCTTTCTCTGTTGGGTTTCACTTTATTTTGGTGGTACAGAAAAACTAAGTTTTCAAAGTATTGGTTGTAGCTATTTGTAATTTTCATTACATTATTTTTGAGCTTGTTTAAATGATGTTTCAATATACTGTGTGGAAAGTGTTTAAAAAACCAGTAGAAACAAAGGTCCTTATTTGCTTGTGCATATGTACGTTTTACTTCCAGAGAGTTAAGTATTGCTAATAGAGTCTCACAACTTGTAAAATACAAAAGTATCGTTCTCCTGTTCCCGTTAATCAGTTGTCTAGTTGTCTGCATGTTGTCTATCTGTTTGTGATTTTATAAATCTGATGATCTCCGAGACAACTGAACTAATTCCGTGTAATTTTAATTAAATTCCTTGAAGTGCGAATATAAAAGTAACTTTATAATAGTGCTATTATAATTGTGATGTACTTTTTGTAGTTCATTTAAAAAAATTTTGTAGTGCGAATATAAGATTGCATACTTAGCTATATGGTTCCAAATTACTACGCAAAAAAAACTGTTAAAACTTATCGTATATTTAAAATCAGCAGTTTACCCCAACATCTAAAAAACACGAAAACCCTTTTCCTAACCTAGTTATTCGGCATTTCATAAAGTCCAAACTCTTAATAAAATTACAACAGTAATAATTTTCATACATAACACACGCGATACATATCTATTAAATAAGGCTGAAATTTAATGTAAAACCGAGAGCTTCTATTACAGCTAACTTGCTTTTTCCATAATTTAAAAACTTTTAAAATGTCAACAATAAATTAATACTTTTGTTTTAAATTTCGACTGTATTTTAAATATGAATTAAAGTGCACAAAAGCGTAAATGTCGTGAAAATAGACGTTTCTTTTACAACTTGATTAAAGAAAACGTCACGGATCAACAAGCTGTGAATGAACATTTCACTGTATGTAGCGTAAGAGAAAATACGAAACCTACAAAAACATTTGTCGAGTTTGAAGTTTATAACTAACTTTAGAAGGTGCTTAAAAAACAACATAGAATCTAATTCCGTATAATCTGACCTAGTGTTTTTTTTTCGAATGACCCAAACGGTTCGCTGATGTGATGAAATACAGTCTACGATGATTTATAATGAAATTTGTGTAAAAATAAACAATTTATTTTTGTTAACACTGTTAAAATTACAACGTATTCAAGTTGAATTCTAATTAATGCCAAACATAAGTTACACAATGTTGAAATATGTGTCTTATCGCAGTTCTTTGTGGGAAACTACATTCTTATGGCCTACAACCTATAACATCACGTCGTTATATAATAAATAATTATATAGCTGAAGATGGCACCTAGATTCTGTTTTAGTTTTCTTTGTTTTAAAACAACACATTACGTATTTTAGGATTAAGAATTTATGACACATTTTTCGATATTTAATATTGTACAGTTTTAATATCAAAAAATGCCACATGTGGTAATAAAACCCAGGACTCTTTTGCCAACATCTGGATCCCTGGGAGATAAACTCAAGGTGAATTCATAAACCATAGGTACAGAAATGTGTTATCTTATAAAATTCATTAAATTTATTATGAAAATTTTTTTCACAGTGTTGGTGGTGATTACTATACAAATTTGGATTAGCATTTTACCATTTACACGTTATTCCTAAAAAACACATAAAATTTGACACAGTGTGTTTAAACCTGTAATTTTCTTGATATGCTGGTGTTATCGCCCACTGTTTTCTTTTTTATAATAATAAACGTCAGTAGTAAAGAAATATAAGTTTTCTTATACTTTTTTTATACGAAAAATTTTTGACACGAAAAATATTAACAGTCCATCCAACTGCGGTCGTCTTTGGCTATCTACCTGTATTGTTTTAAACTGACGAAGATTGTGAGAGTATTTTCAAATAATTAAACATCCATTAGTGTATTTCACGAAGTTTTTCCTGGCTATAAATTAAGTCAGAACATATTGGTTTGCATGTGCATCTCTTGAGGAGCTGCTTTTGTCATTTCTTTAATATTTTTGGTTTCTATTATTGCTCTACTACATTGCAAAATAATACAGATTAAAACTGATTGTAAATGTTGTTGTAATTCCGTTTACGAATCAGTAGTCCAGCCATAGCATTTAAAACAGTTTTAAAGATATTAGAAAGCAGTTATCAGGGAAATGTAACTGCTAGGAAAAAAATATGTACATCTCTTTTTATGATAATTGAGGTTATGTACATTGAAATAATTTTTTCTACGGCCAGGAACAGTTCGTTGTAAATAGCGATCTACAAAAAACATCAAGTTAAAGTTACACAAACAAGCTGTTTTTATCATCGTCTTCTACTGACAAGGGGGGATAAGAAAAATACCTAAAAATCCAGGGCCAACCAGAGGACGTTTTTTTATTAATCACACATTATATTAATATGTGATAGTAAAAAAACAACATAATAAATATTGTAGGAAAATAAAAAAATATATAAATATAAATTCCTGGTCTCAACTTATCTCTTGTATCAATTGCATATTATTTATCCAAGAGAAATGAATACCATACTTGTTGAGAATGTACTGTTCATCTATTTCGTAAAACGAAATTTCTTTGTTGAATTGGTGGATGCGCCGGGTTTTCATGTCTGAATTCAATAAATTTTTCCAAGTAGTGGTTTTATTCTTAATTCTGCAACGTAAATAAAAAGGAATATATGTTTGACCCGAATGGTATCACCGTTGAAAATCTTCGCATAAGCATGCAGACTGAGAAGTCTAATCATGATTACTTAACCTTACTGTCAAGAGATGTTACTACAAACTATAAATTTTACTGTTTTGCGAGAAAACCTGCTCCAGTAGTTTCTGTTTTAAATTATTTTTTCACACACACTTCATTCTCCTGTTCTTGTTAGATCTACCAATATTCAGTTTTTCTGTGAATTATAGAATTCGTAACAAATATTTTTTTATTAAATACTGCTGCAGAGGTTTAAATATATATATAATATATATTTGGCGGTGATAAATATTAGATTCATTAATGTTCTGTCAACGGAATACTGGAAAGACGACGGAAACGTTCCAGAAAAAGATTGTCCTTCTAAGAATTAATACGGACAATTTATAGATATATTTTTTAACTGTCTTCATATTGAGCGTCAACATTAAAAGTGAGATTACCTGCTCGACTGCAACGATAGAAATGTACAAATTGGT